CAATTAACCTAGTTCTTCAGCGTGTTATAATTGAGTATGCCGTTACCTCTCCTAGCAGCTTGGATTTCTTGCAGATAGAATTTCTTAGTAGCAAAATACTAAGAGCACAGTCTGATTCTGGAAAAAGGTACTGACAGTGGAGAATTCTATAGTGCAAAGCTGATCTGTTGTTATTATGCTAATTACCAATAACCAGGATAAAACTGCCTACCATTTTCTAGAAATTGTTATGGGCCATTCCTGTTATTGCAACTTTAATAACTATTAAGATCTACTGAATAGAGGCTGCCAGGCAGCTCACCCATAGGGCTACTGGCCAGGCTCTTGCTAGCTCCTCCCCTTTCAGTGGTGAGGCTGTGTCACTGGAGCATTTCTCTAGATTCTTCATCTCCAGATAAGTATTCATTTCCCATAGCCAACTGAGACAACTTTAAGGAGAGGCCAGACCTGACTTCTATACCTGAGATCAGATCCCCAAAGCTCTGAGAGGTGTGTACCTCAGAGCTAAGTGAAGCTGAAACTTCTAAAATGGCAAATGCACCAGGTCTCGAATCTTCAACCATCTCCCGTGGCCTGTAACATCTGGGGTGAAACCGGGAGGGTGGAGCATGTGGGAATTCTTTCAGAGCTCCCTCCATGGTATGCCTGGGATTTCCCAAAGCAAATACAGAAGCAGCATGTTATTTTGTTTTAAGATAAAAATCAACTCCAGACCATTAAGTTATTATTGTATCTGATACATGTGACATGAGGCCCATCTGTGCCCCCAACCCTGCAGTCACTTAGAGTTAAAATTACTGTGTGTACTTAACACTACACGTTTTTGTTAAATATAGCGCTGCCAGAAATAATAGATGCCCTAGGACGTAAACCTAAAATAACATAGAATTTTTAGTCAGATAATCTTATTTAATCTAAAAATAACCTAAACAGTAGTTTATATAAACCTTGAGTATCAAGACTCCCAGCCCGGTGCTGGTTCATCAAACTGTAAATTTATGAGGCATTTACTTAGCATTTAACATTTTAAACCAGATCAAGCATGATCTATATTATAGGCAAGTTCCAGAAAGCCAAGCATTCCACTCTTGGCTGATCTTGCTGACTGGAACATTCCTTAGGGAAGTCCTTCTCTGAGGGGCGCCAGAGGTAAACACTCACCAAATGCATCACACTGCCAGTGGGTCAGATCCTGTGAGGAATGGAGAGGTCAATAACGTAGTCCACTTTTTGAGCACTTTTATTATCATCCTGTGTGTCTCCTTAGGGACCAGGTTCTCTGGCCAGGACAGTCTGATAGTATGAGGGAAGGAGGCTCTTTAGTTTTATAACCAGTCTGACCACCAGAGAAAACCTGGAAGTGATTCCAAGCCCAACATTCCTCTGTCTGCGGTGAGACCACCCTCTCATGGCTTGAATCTCCTCAGAGGGTGGTTTCCAAACACCCTTGTTGGTTGGAAAAGCCATCAGATGGCTGCTCAGGAGTTTCCAGCCTGGGAGGGTAAGAGGCAGCTCATCACAGCACACAGACAGACAATTAATTGGAGTGTTGATTCTCCATAGGATTGTGTTCTAGGTTTGGAAAGTTTTCACATCCTGAGGTAGCAGATAATGCTGACCCTCGCCAAATTGTTGGCAGTATGGAAGAAAGTTTTAGAGAATTCCTCTGAGAGTCGGAGTCTCTACAGGGATTTAACCATCTCTGGCAATACAATAAGGGCATGTCTATTTGTGGCATGTTCAAGTTAGTAACAGTGGGCATGCTGATCACACTGCAACTCCAGAGGCCTTCTATACTTAGGCTATATAAGAAGAAAATATTTTGTGGTGGAGGATTTGGGGGACAGTTGACAAGTGGAACCCCTGTACAAGCTTTCAGATGATTTCCCCAAGGTCCCAGTGCAGAATCCCAGGACCATACATTTTCCAAAAGAGTCATTAATGTTCACTAACAAAGACTAGGACGCTAGAAGGAGCAGTGTGACCTGATCCTCAGGCGTTAGTTACGCCTTATCACTAGGAGGATGGTGGAAGATATATTTTTTTTAATGTGACATTTCATTATTTTTTTAATGTGATATTTTATTTCTATAACCTCTACATATTTCACAGAGGTTTTTGGAATCCATCAAAGTTTTCAGAAGTTTTACCCATTTGAAAATACCGCCCGCTGTATTTCAATATCCAGTTAAACCCTATGTCACATTCAAGGTATTTAATTTATGATCTTTGATAAATATTCTTGAAAACTGAGTCAGTTCCTTCAAAAGTTAATATGAAACAGAGGAATGAGGGGATATCAGTCAGAAGAGAGTAAAAGTGGATTTCACTTAACATAGTGTCTTCAAGTTTCATCCATGTCATTGTATATTGAAGAATTCCCATTTTTGTTGTGTCTACATCTTAGCATTATGTTGTGCATATTGCTGCTATGAACACGGAAATGCTGACATCACTTAGATCCTGACTTCACTTCTTTTGGAAGCCCACCAGAGATGCTTCTCACTACTCTCTGGACAGTGTACCATCTTCCTAAATTAACATGGGCATTGGGTCCTCCAATTTGGGGCACATTTTTCAGTATTAGGCATATAATAAACTTACTAAATATTTGAGAAGCTGCCTTGTGGGAATCAGGAGAGTGGGAAGATGTGTGGGAATCCAGGGAGAATGTCTAAACTTTGGTAGAGAGGTCTGCACTGATAGAAGTGTGGCATCAGCAACAAAGGATGTGCCATGATAGTTGGTCAATTGACCGGTTAACAAATAACCAACTGGGGGGTTGGTGATTTAGCTCAGCGGCACAGCACCTGCCTGGCAAGTGCAAGGTCATGAGTTCGATTCCCGATACTGGAAAAAAAAAAAAATAACCAACTGACCGATTAACCAGAAAACTGGTTCAAATGGAGAAACATCAAGAAATAATACTTAAATCTCTGAAACATTTTAGCTAAAGGTATGAAAGGTGTTTTAAATATTATGCAGTATATATATTATTAAGTAATACTTAAATATTACAGTTTTTCATTAATTTGTGATAGAGGGGGAGAGCCTTCTCTTTGAGGGTATCTGCCAACTGAATAAAGGATGTCATAACCATTATTCAGAGCACAGTTACGATGTGAATTTGAATCCAGTTTATCTCACATACTTGGATCCATGGCAGGAGTGTCAAAGACCCCTATGAAGCAGTCTGGAAACACGGTTTTGCAACTCGGTCCTCATCTCTTATTTTATTTTGCCCATTCCTATTTTGGCAGCAGTGTATTTTAGCTATTTGCTAAAATTAGTTTTCATGAGAACAACTTGGCTTTTGCTCTCATATTTCATTGATTAACCTAACACGTAAGCACATGTATGGACTGCAATAAAGAGTATCACTGGTGCCAGAAGGTGTGAGAAAATAGTAGGCCTTGGTGGATGTGCCCTGCTCAACTCACAGGGACGTAGGCAGTACCAGAGAGGACTCTGTTGGCCCAAGATACAGGGTACAGTGTTGCAGGGCAATGTATTTTGCAGAGGAAGTGGTGGCTTTGGCTCCGCTCTCCATGGGACTTCTCCTTAGCAGATGTGTGGGAGGGGCTGCAGATCTTACACAGAAAACAGGAACAGCTTCTCTTGGGGTGCCATCAGCAGTAAATAGCGAACAGGGGAGCTGATGAGAGGTGGTCAGAGGCATAAGAGGAAAACTGGGCAAGTGGGGCTCCAGAGAAGCCTTTGTGACCCTTTTAATAGTTATCTCCTCTCTGTCTTTTCCCTCTGCTCTGTTACTTGGTACTTGAGAAATACCTGATAGTCTGGGAATGAATTAAAGTGCATTTGTTTCCTCTACCACTGGGATTGTTGACAAAGAGCTGGTATGTCCCTCTCTGGGAAATCATAGGGCAGCAAACTACAGGCCCCCTGATCTTGTCTGATCTGCCCCTCAGCTCACCCTAATGATGGTATATACATAAAGTAAAAACATTGTTCAGCTCACAGTGTGTGACCAGCCAGTTATGCTTTGTCAAGCATCCTGGTGTCCCTCAGATCTAGTTGGGTGGAGAAGGTGGCAATAATGATCTTGGTGGACCCTGGTATAGAAATGTGAAAGATAAAACAAAAACCACACTCAGTTTGAGACCCTGAACTCATGACATTTGATAAGTCAAAGCCTTGGCTGGTTCCCACCTGCCTTTAGCACTGTGATGAAAGAACTCAAAACACTTGGATTACTGACAAAGCAAGTTTATTTATCAGAAGCTTAAACATTTAAGAACTATAATATCATAATTAATGTAATTTATTCACTTATTATTATCAAATATCTGTTCAATCTTCATCCTGTGATCAAATCACATGTTGAATTTCTCCATAAATTCCTGACTGCAATCTAGTCTGTTCAATCTGGTATCATATTGTGTCACTTTTTTGTGCAGGCATTCCTCATCTAATGACTGGGTTCTAATCTTGTGTGTAAGTCATTAAATGAATTGGTTTCTAGGTGAGGGATTGTATATAGTATATACATTACCATATTCAGAGCAAAGAAATGGTCAAAGGAAACTCCAGCTTGATGACTTTGCTTTCATTTGCATAACTCTTATATGCAGTACTGTAATGTATAACAGTGATGGCAAACCTTTTAGAGCCTCCAGTAACACACAGCCAGCTGTGGCGTGCGTGCCATAGGTTTGCCACCACTGGTATAACAGTACTGTATTGTATAATACCCTCAGCAAAAAGTACAGTACTGCACTATAGAAGAAGTCACAATAAGGCCGTACTGCTGCTCCCGTACCTGCATTGTAAGTCTGAATGCGGGTCATAAATCCGAGTGGTGGGTTATGAGTCCAAACAGTGCAACTTGGTCATAAGTGCAAACATTTGTTACACGGGTAGGTCACTAAACAAGGAACATCTGTGCTTAAGATGAATTTCAGTGCACATTATGCACTTGAACCTGGACCTGGAAATGAGCCGCGTCTAACATAGTGCCCCCTCCTCTTCTCTCTGGACAGCCTGGGGATGAGTCACGATGACGATCACTCGTCCTGCGCTGGCCGGTCCCACATCATGTCAGGAGAGTGGGTCAAAGGCCGGAGTCCCAGTGACCTGTCTTGGTCCTCCTGCAGCCGAGATGACCTTGAAAACTTCCTCAAGTAAGTCATAGAATTATTTTGTAGCATCAAAACAATAGAAAGTTCTTCCAAAAGACACAATGTAATTTAGCAAGGAGGAGGAGGAGGAGTGCTACTTGAATCCTCATTTGGCTTGGAGAGGTAGTCAGTGCAGAGTCTCTTGTGACAGAACAATACTTCTTCCCAAGTGTGCATCACATACCATGTTAAGTAGTCAGTCTGTGCCATTAAATGCTTATCCGTTGATGGAAATATCAGCACAGTAACCCTGTTCTGAAACCCATCATACTTACCTGCAACCCATGACCGTGAGTGGACACTGCTTTCACGGTGCCTCTTAGGTGCCATGTAGCCAAACACTTCTTGGCTCCTAAGGCTGCTTCCATGGAGGGGAGAGAATTTATTGGGGGAGGGAAGTGGCTCACCTCTCTCAGGTGGGGAAGGAGTGAGTATCTCTCACTGCCCCTTTCTTTCTGGAAGATACCTATGTCATTCCATTCCCAGGCTGCTGTGTAAGGACCGGCCATCTAGTTTCCGTCTTTTATCAAATTGAGTGTGACTGTGGGCATTGCCAGTCCCTTAGTATCAAAACCAAAGGGGTCGATTTATAGCCTTGGTGCAATGTATTTATCTCAATCATTTCCCTACTTATTTGTGTTAATCCATTTACCCTGCAGAAATGGAAGTGAGTCTCTGAGTATTACCTGCATGGGAGCTTTGCAGCCCAGCAATACATTAAAGTACCCAGGGCAACTGGGGAAAGTGACAGAGGCATCACCCTGGGTCTTCCCTCATCTTTCCTGTTGCTGAGGAAATTGTTTAAGCAGTAACCAGGCTGCAGATGAACTTGTTAGTTTTAACGTAGTCTACTTTCATTTAGTCTTTGCTGTCATGCAGAGGTAATAAAATGTTGTAAGCACTTGATGTCATTTTATTTACCCAGAAGGGTCGGTACAATAGAATGGAGTGTTTTCATTTGCTCATGTATACAGTGCAGGTCCCACTGGGACAGGTGATGTGAGTTTGAGTCAGAAGGAGAGGGACCAGCCTCATCTATGTGTATTTGTGCACATGCAAGTCTTTTTTAAAAAGTTTTGGCAAATGGCTGAGTTTACTTTTTACAACCACCTGCCTTTATTTAAGAGAAGAAAAATAAAGGTACTTAAGCATTTAACCTTCTAATAGAGCCCACTTTGGGGGAAATGTACCTGTCATTGTGAGTGGATTTTCCCATCTTGGTCAACATCCTGACGTCAGTGAAATCAGGAGGTGTGGCCAGGTGACGTACAAAGTCTAGCATGCCTGCCACAGTCCAGCAAGCCCTCCAAGAGAATCTAGGGTGTTAGAAATAAGCATGCTGATTTCATTCAAAATAAAACAACCCTTACTTGTGCTTTGTCTTTAGTCGTAGTAACTTTGGCTTGAAACCATACTCTAAAAAAAATACTGTAGTATCTTTCAAAAGCATTTTTTACCAAACCTCCTAAGAAGAGCCCATTTACCTGATGGTATTATTCCAGGACCCTCCAGAGTGGCCAATATCTCATTGCCTTTGGAGCAGAGATCCACATTTAGCCAAGTAAGAAAGAGTAAAAAGCAAACACAATCTATTATGTTCACTACCTGGGTCCTTCTCCCACAAATACTTGAAGGTGCATCTTTCTCAGGGATGGAAAAATTAAAACGTGAACTTGGGCAGTACATTTTCATGTCAACTTGCCTCTTGGCTATTTCAGGTCCAAAGTCAGCACTTGTTTGTTGGTCACTGACCCAAGGAGCCAGCATGCAGTGCGCCTCTCTCACAAGCTGCCTGGCATGCACTACAGCGCCAACGAGCAGTGCCAGATCCTGTTCGGCACCAACGCCACCTTCTGCAAAAACATGGAGGTAAGCAGCCTAGAAGGGCTGGCTCAGCAAGGGGCACAAGCCTGGCATTCCCTCAGCAGGTCTGGCTTTGGCTAGAGAACACAGGTGCTCACAGTTAACACATGCACATACCTACACACAGCCACACACATATACACGCCCTCTCACAGGCATTTGCACATCTGTGCCGCAGGTAGCCACACATGCATATTCACCCACACTTGCACTTGCAGTCACCATCTGCACAGAGGCAGCTTTGCAGGCAGGTGTGTAGGGTTATTATGGACATCAGTAACCTAATATTTCAGTGGGAAACTTGAGGACACCAGAGCAAGGAAACAGACTCATACTTCTTAGAAATGATGGAATATCGCCCAACTTTAAACCCCACACAGATAAGGAAGAGAGAGCTTAAAACTGTTCAAACACTGGAGAATATCAAATGGAGGTATAACAAGTAATGCACTGATTGTATGATAATAGTAATAAACCCATTAAACAGCATTTATTGAACAATGTCCACATTTAATCCTAAGGTTTCCAACCTATGTGATCACAATTAACTTTCACAACTCCCTAGTTTATAGGCAGTGATACCAAGTCAGACTAAGTGATTGTTCAAAACGGCTTGGCCAGTAGGTGGTAGAGCAAGAATTCAGACCCAAACCTGGTCACCCCTGGAGCATTTACTTTTGCACGGTGTTGCAAATAGGAAGGCCTAGACCTTAGTTCGGGAGGTAGAGACTGCGTAGTATTCTGTTTTTCTTCATTAGAATTGGCACTTTCCACTCCAGTAATTAGTAGGAGTGCTTACTTGAGGAAGGGAAGTAGTAGCAGTGACTTTGGTGGCAACTAGCCTCAGCTGGTCACTAGTCAGTGTTCTGCTTGCAAGACTAGTGATGCTTCCTTTAGAGCTCTGACAGTGAGGTGACAGCAACTGTTCATACTGCAGAACATGTCACACTAAGGCTCTGGTACTCCTGGGGAAGATAGGACAGAAGGGTACATGACCCCCGTGCTACCTTAGCACCCAAGGACTTGGGACATGCTGCTCTGGATCTTGGATATGTCCTGAGTCAGATCCAGACTAAGACAGCACTGCAGTTCAGTGCTGGTGTGTGTACCCATCCCCTCCTGTTCTTCTTGTCATCCACTCTCTTCCGGCTATGCTGATCTCCCTACTTTCCCAGGAGCTCAACAGGTTGCTGCCAGCAGAAACACATCCTGCTCCATGCAGCCCTTTCCTCTGTCTGGCAACTTTGTCTTAGTTATCTACATGACTAATTCCCTCATGTTTTATGGGTTTTGTTTTTTGTTTTTAATATGCCTTTTACAATGAGGCTTTCCCTTGTCACCCTATTGAATACTGTAGTCTGAGAGCCCTCTTCCTGCCAACCTTTACATTATCTACCCCTCCCAACCCTATCAGGGTACACTCAACTTCCAGACACGGATCATCTTTTCCCATGCTGTGTAGTTCATTTACTTACTATGACTATGGCTTTTATAATTTCCCTCTTCTAGATTATGTATCTTCCAGAGTAGCAACCTTTGCTTTTTTATCATCAGTGTTTCTCAGTTGTCATGACCAAAACTCGGTATGTATGAGATGCTTGATAAGTGCATGTTGTCCTTGGACTCGGCCATGGTCCTAACACCGGTTTATAAAGTGGCTTTCTGTGGCTTTACTTATGATGAATTGGTAGATAAGCTCAGAGTTGAGAAAGAGACCCTTATATTCTTTCATGAGTGATGTATTACTCTCTAAGCCTGATTTCACGTTTCTCTGTCTAGTTCACCAGAATCATACATGAGACTTTATCATGTGTCTTGCAGGCATCTCTATCTACAAACCATTCCCATAGCTTCTTTCCAGGACAAGAAACCATTCAAGACAATGCAGTGAGTCTAGTCCCAAGTGGTCACAGGCTGGTTCCTTGTGATTTTCTCTCTCTGTGCCTTAGTATTCTCACTGGTCAAATTTTAAGCTTCTAGCAAGTTAATGCACATAAAGTACTAAGGAATGCATCTGACAAAGTCAATCCCTAGTAAGGTTAGCTGATACCTGCGCTATTATTTCCTTTTTAGACAATGCTGATTCTTGTGTGTGGGGAGACAGAAGTAATTTATCTGCATATCTCTGAGATCTCTCTAGGAGTTGTGAAATATTAAGTATTGTCAGAAACAAGTGCTCTTCATGCAAGCAGACACCCAGAACCAACCAGAAAAGTCTTTTAATATGTTCACAATGGGGCCATAATTAGTATGTCTTACTGCTGGGCAGCTGTCAACCATTGGTGATACATGCGTAACTGTCCCATCGGTCTGTATGGGACAGTCCCATTGGGGACACAAGCCACCTGATGGGATAGTCATGCATGTACTACTTGCGGTACAAACTGCCCAGTAGGATAGTCATGCATGTTCTACTGGTGGTTCAAGCTGATGGAAATGTGTTAATCCAATGGTATAACTGATCTTTGTAGCCATTTTTACTCTTTCATGCTCTTGATTGAAATAGACATCATGTTATGAAATGATCATGGTCTCTAAGTTGCCTTTAAATTTCTTACCCCAAATTCTGCTTCTAGCTAAGATGGGATAATGGGGATCAGGTTTGCTTTATCATTGGAAACAACTACATAATAAAATAAAATACGTGAAACAATGAACTTTCAAGATTCTGGACCTCAAGCAGTAAAGGCCTGTGAGTGTACAATGATGAGTAACCAGTGAGGGATAAGCAGAGAACCTCAGAGATTTGAAGAGGGTCCTCCACGAAAATTGAGATTCAGCAAGACATTCAGTGCATGTGAGAAAATGGCCCAAGGCCAGGAAAAGAACCAGCTGAAAAGGTTCAAGGGAATAATCTCAAGAAATCATATAGGCATAGGATAGAGTACACAGAGGATTTTGCTTCAGTAGTGTAGCAAAATGAAACTTAAACTAAATGCTCATCTGGTGCTGTTTCCAAATAATTTAACTAAGTCTTGTAATAAAGCTCAGATATGTTTATAGAATTCCAAACTATTCAACATTCAGTAAAATAAATCACAGTTAGCTAAAATACTAACAAACATGTCAAGAGGCAGAAAAATACATCCACAATGAAAAAGAAATCAATCTAACACACAGATAATAGAATCACCTGTGTCAAGGAGATTAAAACACTAATTTAAAGCATATGCCAGGGTCAAGAGGGTAGCAGAAAAATGAAACATACTAAGTGGAGACCTGGAAGATATAAAGAAGATCCAAATGAAATGTCTTGAAAGGCAATATTTAGTTAAAAGCTTCTCTGGATGGGATTGATAACAAATTAAACACCACAGGAAGGAACACTGTTGAACTTAAAGGCAAAATGATTAAAATTCTCAAAGATAAAACTTTAAAAGAAACAGATCTTAAAAGAACCATAGGGTCAGTGAACTGTGGAAGTGCAGGTGTTCTTATATATAAGTAATACCCCTGAAAGATGTGGGGAGGGAGAAAATAGACAGGCAGAATGGAAAAAAATATGAAGAAATCATGACTGAAAATTCTCCAAGTCTGATGAAAACTGTAAGGCCACAGATCCAAGAAGTTCAAAAAACTCCAACTACAAGAAACAAACCTAGACCAAGATTCATCATTTAATCAAATTGTTTAAAAGGAGTGATAGAAAATCTTAAAAGAGCCAGAAGAAAAGATGTTATATACAGGCAGTGTGATCTTTGCTTTTACATTTCTCATTAAAAATAATACAAATGAAGCTTGGCATACTGCCTCAAGCCTATAATCTTAGCACTTGGGAGGCTGAGGCAGAAGGATTGCTGTGAGTTCAAGGCCAGCCTTGACTATACAGTGAATTCACAGCCAGGCTAAACTTCATAGTGAGACCCTATCTCAAAAAAGGAAAATAAAAATCATTTAAGTGAATATACCATATAGCAATATCTTTAAAGTACTAAAAAAAAGAAGCTAGTCAGCCTACACTTCTATACCCAGCGAAAGTATCTTTCAAAAATGAATGTTGTTGTAGTTAGGGCTTATAGGGGAACAGATTTAACAGTACACATGATTCATAGGATTACTTTATAATATTCATCCAAAGAGTCAAATGCAGAAGAGTGCCAGAAATCTGTCCATGTACTAGAGACCCAAAGAATCCTGCTGAGGAGCTGGATCCTATGGCAATGTCCTGCACAAGTCCAGCTGGAGGCTGAGAGCCCACAACAATGTCTCATGCGAGTCTGTATCAAGATCTGCACTGGAAAGTCCCATAGGTCAGTGGTAGACGGCAGAAAATCTGTACCAGTGGGATGAAGGATCTGTGCCAGCAGGCTGAGAGATCTGCATTGGAGTCAGGAAGTGATGCTGAAGGTAAGGAACAGAGCTCTTCTGAAAAGAAAAGTAGCCATCCTCAGCAACAGCAAGGTTCTAAGCTCCTCAGATGATGTGAACAGCCGAGTTCATATCAGTTAAGCCCAAGTGACAAGCTTCTCCAGGAAAATCAACAGCACACCATCTTTCTGTCTAGTTCTCTTTTTATGCTGTTGGCAACAATCCTCCGGTGGGCCATCCATACCCAGCACCATGCTGATTTAACTTAGCTGGGTGTTAGAAATTGACCGTTAGTTAATCCACCACAAATGTGAAACACATTTTTTTTTTTTTTTTTTGCTATACAAAATCTGATAGAACTTCTTTATAAGGAGACCTACACTATAAGAAACATTAAACATAACTTTTCTACAGAAAGAAAATGATACTAGATGGGAATATGTATTTACAAAAAGAAAGGAAGAGCTCCAGAAGTAGTAACTACATGGGTAAATATATAAATGTATGGTATATTGAAATATACTTAGATATCTTAAAAAGATTATTTACCATTTACATAGCTACTTTACAAAAAGAAGGACAAGTGTACATACTTGTGGTAGATCTCCATATCCTAATCCCCAGAACTATGATTGCTCTTTTTTTATGGTTAAAAAAAGGACTTTGTCAGTGTGACTAATTTGAGTGTCTTGAGTTGG